GTAACAAGTGCCTTACCAGGAGCAAAGGGCCTCGCTACTAGTAACAATCACTCCTGCAGCTCGGCGGATTGGAGGAACCCCGGAGCCCCTTGGCCCCCCCCCGGCGGAGCGGCCGCATGGCGATCACATGGACACCGGGGAGGCAGGGCCCGCAACCCAAAAACGAGGCAAGCGAAAACGGGATCCGACTGAACAAGTGAGTTGAACTTTGGCATTGGATCTCGGCTTTTTTCCGGGTTTTTCTTGGTGGCTGCTGTCTTTTCAGTTTGGCTTCTTTTTCGCGATGGAGGCCATCGCTAATTATTAGGTTGGCAGGCCATTGCTATTTCGCCTTTCTCTCTCCTTTTCATTAGTCCGATGCTTTTAGCCTTGTGCCCCCCCCAACCGGCGCTCGCCTCTCCTCTCCTCTCCCTGTCTCCTTGTCTCGCATCTCTGGGATCCATGTCCCCGAAGAGCACTGCTTTGCCGTCCGGCGATTTGAACATGGACAACTCCAAGGCGCGCACCTCAAAGCGCCGCGGACTGGACGTGATGGACTGGGTGATGGACTAGTCAATGCATGGACTGTGGTTAAACACATTTGGTTTATAGTGGTTCATTACTGGTTCATATATTATATGTCTTGGTTTGGCCCAAGGCCTTGACTTCCCTCGAAGGAATCAGGTCGTCAGTGGGTTGATATTAGCGCCAGGTGGTTGATCTTCTCAACTTCATGCAGCTTGGCTGTCAGCGCCACATAGAAGACAGATGAACATCCATGAAACGATGACCGATTACCACGTGAACCGATGTGTTCCACCCCCGTCCCGTGACACTGCCGAACCCGTGGACCGTTCCGGTCGCCCGAGCCACGTATTCTGCTTGCCGCGTGTAATCCGTCCAGACGCCCATCATGTGCAACCCCTCGAAGCTTTCGTCTTTCCAGCCGGGTGGCACCTCGCGACGACGCGTCGTGCGCGAAACGAGGTCGCGCTCGTTGTTCTGCGAAGTAGAAGTGTGGTGCCAGAAGTGTGCCACGGTGTTCCCAACACACTGCGGACTTCACGACTGCTTGTGCTTCTAGGACTTGGAGTTTGCGCCACTAAGCAGAGACTTCTGATATGGCCGGTGCCCACACAGCTGCCTACATGATTCTGTCTATTCGAATCGTCGACTGCCCACACGACTTCAGCTGAGAGACAGCTCTGAAATCTTCCGGCTTGGGGGTGGTCCATAATCGTGGCTTTCCTTGGAAGTGGAGCCCGACTCCAGCCAGAACGGCTGCAGAGGGGTCTATAGACCCGACTTGCAGGGATGCAATCTTCTCGTAGCAGTATTAGTTTCTATCAAGTAGAAGAAACAACGCAAGGAAAGGGGTGCCAGTAAGGGTGCAAGGAAAGGGTTGCCAGTAAGGGTGCAATGGGATGCAAGTGCATGATCGCCGCGATCGCCTTGTTCATTGACCAGCTGGCTGGCGAACAGAAACTGTGGAGCAAGGAATGCTACGAACGGGCTGCTCCCGGCATCGCTATTCGCAAAAAGCTACTAGGAACAAGAAGCTACTAGGGGCTCCTGGCATCGCTACTAGGAACAACATCTTCGGACTCAGAGCATGCTCCTGCTGGCCTGCATCGCCTCCCCTGATGAGAGCCTTCCATCTAAGTGCTGCCCAAGAACCCTTGTACTTCCAGGTCGCCTTGGCGGGAGAATAGCTCTGTGACTCCTCGCTGCAGGCGTAGTACTCCTCCGGTGCTAGGTCTTCCAAGATTCGGCAGCACATCTTCCACCTGCGAAGAGACGAGACAGACGAGACATGTGCCGCGTCGGGCGGAGCCCCGCCTCCCAGCGGTGTAGAAGAGATACGCAATAAGCCTCAGATGGACACGTTGCAACGAAATAAGCCTCTGTGGAGCGTGCCATCCCTCTGAGAAGTCACATTCTGCTTTAGGCCTTAGGAGAGAGGGGGGTGTTCTTGCCCCTTTGGCCTGACCTTTCATATCTATACTTCAATATCCGAATCAGGAAACCTCACAAATGTATGTCATGGTGATGGTTCACACTGGCGCGCGTTCCGAAAATGGCCCGGCGACGGCATCATGTGTGGGCAAGTGCTGAATGACTTAGAATTCTTGGCTCCGTTCGTAGCTTCCTTGTTACTAGTATGGCCAGGAGCCCCGTTCGTAGCGTCCGATCTCTCCGTTCGTAGCGATGCCAGAAGCCCCGATCGTAGCTTCTTGCTCCTAACCCCCCCGTTGTCACTTCATCCGCATTCGGCCGACGGAAGGGGACCACGGGACCACGGCTCGTTCGTTCAGTGCTACGAAACGATCATCCAAACACGACTCATGGGATTGGCATATTGACACTGGGAGAGTTGTTTCAGGTCAAGGTATAGGTATAGCGCGAATGGACATGACAGGATGGACCACAGCCAAGCATCCCTTTTAGGGAACCATCTTCTTGCCTCCTTGGCTTTTCGCGGAAAAAAAACGCTTGGAGCTGCAAACCGCCATACAGCTAAACGATAAAACAACATCGCATCACGACAAAGCAGCTTGCTTAGCAGTTGAAGCCTTTAGCTTAGGTGCGCTTGGAGCTGAAAGTAACAACTGAAAGAATCATTGTCTGTAGATGTCTTAAGTCTTCACAAGACTTCCTGGTTCCCCTGAAGGGCGCGGCTTCAATCAATCGCCCAACGGCGAGAAGAGACCAAGCTACCACACCGAGAAAGCCATGTAAGGCAAAAAGCGGTGGAAAGAGAACCGTTTGGCTGCGTGTTTTCCTCTTGAAAGAAGCGTCTGCATCTTCTGGTACACAGGACGTCCATTGAGCAGCCTCTCCTCCAAACAACAAAACAACACACCTTCAAGAGAAGCATCTGTCGGGTTTGCCTCAGCTTCAACTTGGGCTTATTGTAGAGTTACAATAAGTTACATCTCTTTTCTCTTTCAGGTCACCGGAATCATATGGAAAAAACACAACTCTCGTCTTGTTTTTTGGTCCTGAAGAGAATCTCTCTCTCTCTCTCTCTCCCTGTGGATCGAATGTTCTGTCGGAGGATCGAAACGAGCGGTTCGACAGTCGAAAGGAGAAAGGAAACGGTTCGCTTTACATGACGAATTCACCCCCCCGACCCATCTCTTTTGGGAGAACGAGGTACCCTGGGTACCTTTTCAACCTCATTGGCCCGACTTCAAATCCGGTCACGCGAGCGGGGTTGACTGCCGGTTCAATGCGCGCGCGTGCGTGAGGCGATACGTCCTTCATCTTGAACCACAAGCCCAAGGCCTCACCATCGTCCTCTCGACTTCGGAAGTCGTTTGGACTCCAAACGGTGTTGAGTTCAGGATCGCTAAACATCTGAGGCACATTGAACATCAAAAGGCTGGCTGAACAAAACTGTCGCCTTCGACTGAACACCAAAAGATCTCAAACACAATACCATTTCTAAGGCCATGGTCCACAGGACACTCTGCTTGGTATGCCAGGAGGGGAGCAGCCTCTAGAAGCCTTGGCTGATATGGTGGACTGAACATGGATGTCTAGCCATGTGCCCAATTTGTGCAAACAGAACAATGATGTCCAAACTACCGAAATTGATTTGTGGGCACGAGTTGTACTCTATGGACAATGACAAATCATACATAAACGGGATTCTGGCATTGCCATCGGCGTTGGGTTGTCACATCTGTTCCACACCAAGGAGCTCTTCCGGGGTGGGTGGTGGCATATAGCAAACGCCCATGTCAGGCTCCTTGACAAAGCCTTGAACGCTCGTCGCTCTCGAACTCGAAGAACGGAATCAAACAACGAATGGACGAAACGCACAACAAATCCCCTCCAATCACCCCCAAGCCGTGCACAAAAATGCCTCCGGACTCCAAAGGGACCTCAATTCTGCATCCTGTCTATTGATATAGCTACTAGTAACAAGTGCATCCCTTCTAGTGACAAGTGCCTTACTAGTAACAAGAAGCTATTAGTAGCAAGTGCATCGCTAGTAGTAACAGGTGCCTTACTAGTAGTAACAATGTTTGCTATTAGAAACAATAAGCTTCTTGTTACTATTACTAGTAAGGCACCTGTTACTACTAGCGATGCACTTGTTCCTACTAGATATTTGATGCTCGTTCGCAAAGACTGCGGACGTGGAAGCCCATCCCTTTGGTCACTGCATTTGCGACCCCCATCCGAAACAGCCCTTCCCTTTGGATTCGCTATTTCGCCTCAAAAAGGGATCTCACAAAGAATGCAACTCGGTCCATTAACGCATAGTACTGGTTCACATATACTGATTTTGGAATGAGTACCTTTTTTGTTCAATCAAACACCCAAACTTCCCACAAATCACACAGATGTGGACTTCTGGTGCGGTCTCTTCGTTCACACGCGAACGGTCACCCAGTGGCTCTTCTTGCTCTGATTCCACACGCCCCACACTTCGTTGGCATCCCATCCTGCAGGAGTCGTTGCCGCTAGGCATGGCGAGTCTCGAGAGTCGCCGTGAAGGTCCCGTTTCACTGGCCTCACGTGTTGGGTTTCACTGGCCTCAAGCTCCGGACTCGTAGCGTCCGATCTCTCCCTTCGAGACGCGATGCCAGGAGCCCCTAATTAGTAGCTTCTTGTTCCCAGTAGTACTAGAGATGGCCTCCAACCTACTTGTGACTCACTTTCCTTTAGGTCCGACCCCCAAATTCACCCACTTACTTCAAGCTGTGGTGAGCTGTCACTGCGCCCCCCACCTACCGCGTGAGCCGCTCGCTTGGTCTTCAAACGACAGCTCGCATAGTTGCCGATCTTGTGATGAATCTGCCATTGCCCTCTCTTGCCGTGGTAATACAAATACCTACACAGCCACGACGACATGCCATGACATGAGTCGCGACGCGTCGAGCAGCGATTCATGGTCACGATGGCCAAGTGCCGCTTCACGACTGCTGACGCTGCCTACTGCCTAGCTCGGCGCCAAGGTGCTTCTGATGTTCAGCACTGTAGAAGACGGGCCGCCGGCCATGAGACATTCCTTTCCTGACAACGGCGGCGGCGTTTTCTTGTTGAGGCGTCACACACATGGGGGATTTATTTCGTATCGGAAGTGACGATGCAAACGCATGCAACATCAATGAGCACCATGGATCATGTCGGATGAACCGATCAAACTGGCAACAACAAATTTTAAGAAACAAGATTCACTTGCACGTACTCGCCGTCGAACTCTTCCCATCGCGAGCAACCTTGGCTGGAGTGGAGATGTCTGATTAACAGTTGACCCCTGGCCCTAGTTGAGTCTTCTATGTGGTTCATGAATGCTTCGAATGAACCACATAGAAGAGTATTGACGAACCACTATAGTCACACTTCTTCTATGTGGTTCTATGTCAAGAAATCTGTCGTTGACTCGCTCCTCGCATCTGCCGCATCTGCGTCTCGATCGTCGCGTTCACGGCACCTCCCACCAGCAAGGTGATGTCGTTGACCACTTCCTTGGCGGCAGCGCTACCAAGGGTGGCGGAATCTTCGGCGAAGACCCAGCGGATGAACTCCTCCACCTGGAGACGAGTGTTTGACGGAACATCGCGGGGAGACATGTTTTTTTGGACGAAAAATGGAGACAGGGCAAAACAAATGGCAAAAGAACCACAATACTTTTATCTTTGGACCTTTTTTGGTATTCATTTTTCAGCCGGCGCTGCCTCCTGGTTTAATTAAGCAAGCGGTTTCTGTAAGGTTCGGCTCTGACCCTGCACAGGAAGTGTCCCCTTCTGTGTGGG